CCTGTGCATGCGGCAGATAACATGCTGGCCTGGAGGAGCAAAGACTCCGTCCCCGAGCACCCGCAGCGTGGGGGTGATGGTGATGCTACCTTTCGCTGGGTCGTGGTGAGGGTTAAATGAGTTGGAGCTGATGACGCTCCTACCTGTGCATGCGGCAGATAACATGCTGGCCTGGAGGAGCAAAGACTCCGTCCCCGAGCACCTGCAGCGTGGGGGTGATGGTGATGCTACCTTTCGCTGGGTCGTGGTGAGGGTTAAATGAGTTGGAGCTGATGACGCTCCTGAAAAAGTGCTGAAGACAGAGTCGAGACCCAAGGGTGTTGGGACATAATCAGGGCCACAGGAGTGGCTTAGGCAGGCGATGGCAGGGGCTGCATCCAGAACCCAGCGGGGACGACACTCCGTGGACATCTCTCCGCAAATTCCTGATGAGCAAAAAAAGCAATTTGCTGCATGGCGTGTATAGTATAATCCTGTTTTTGTAAAATACATAATATACCTGTGCATATAGTTTCTATATCTTGAATAGACATTGGAAAGTAGTTTATATGGGCTCAGTGTGTGGGGAAAAGGCTGGAAGCCCGCTGGCTAGCCGTTTGCTGTGGTGACGCCTGCCGTATAGGGTTGGGCAGGGCTGGTGTGGTGTTCTTTATTACTTTATTTTATTTTGTATGCTTGCGTTTGCATTTTATCTTATTTTGACGATGTGTGTGGACGAAGGCAAAGGCGGGTCGTGCATGGAGCAGGAGTTGGGTTCAAAGCTGGCAGACGGGAGTGAAGCAGGTGCACACGCAGGGGCCTGTGGTTCTGACACTGTGATCCCTAATCCTCCCCCAAATGGGACAGGATATTTAAAACCAGGAATGTCCTGGAAACCACCCGATATATGGGCACTGTTGTGGAAGCCGGGGGTCCAGGCTTTCATCTGCTGGTCATCTCTGTGACCTCTGCCCTCAGGATGCAGTTGTCTGGTTGGTATAAGACCCCACCTCACCACCACCAACCTCGCAAGTCCCACCCGGCTTAGCAGCGCAGGATGGGAAGCAGACCCCCCAAGGTCTTTTCAGGACTGTGGCTGTTTTCTGACCTGCCTGGGGCTTCTGCAGGGGAACCCCCACATCTTCAGGAGTCTGGCCAAGGGCCCACCTTATGCTTCATTAGGCGACTTATGCAGATCCTGATGTCTGGGCAGCTGCAGGGTGCAGGCTGGGACGGTGACATTCAGGGCCTGTGGTGTCCCTTCAGCCCCAGCAGGGTGACAGTCTTCTCTCTGATAACCCGATGTTTAAACCCCACTCTTCTGAGCCCCTCTCCAGACCTCGGTTTCCCATCTGTGACAAGAGGACTGAGGCTGCCTGAGCCCACAGCTCCCTGGCAAGGTACAGGGCCGTCCCTTACGGGTGGCTCATAGCTCCCCTTGGCACCTGCCTCTGTGGGCGGTGGGGATTAGCTTTAGTGGTGGCGAAAGTACGGCAATCAATTCACAGACAGAGTAAGTACTCTTCAGGCGGCTGGTAGGCTGGAAAGCAGCAGCTTGGCTTATCGATTAATTAGGACTGGTTAGATGGTTCAGGGAAGGGCTGGGACTTCCTCCTTTTTTCCTCCTTAAATTCCCCGTGGGAAAAACCCACTGTGCTAAGAAGCAGAGAGGCCCAGGACCAGAGGCCCAGGGAATCAGGACCAGAAGGCAAAAAGAGACGTGGGACTCAACCAGACGATGTCCCCCAAGTTCCTGAATGGGCACCTGGGGGACTCCTGGGTATTCTCAGGTTCTGGGATTTCACACTCAACCTTTTCTTGGGATTCTCTCAGAGTTTCGTGATCCTGATGTTCCACGGTGCCTCCTGCCCCACCCCCTGCAATGGCCCTCTAACAATAATTACAAATATTTATTGAGCATTTGCTACAGGCTTGTTTGCTATTGAGCGCTGTATTACAAGCTTCATGTGCATTTTCTTGTTTAATCAATAGTCATTTAATTCCCCAGTGGTCATTGAATGCCTCAGATTTCTCAGGCCAAGGACACAGCACTGAGCAAGCCAGACCTGATCCCTGCCCTGTGGAGCTTTCCCTACAGGGACAGCGCCCCCAGCCTCACGTTCTCAGGACAGGAAGCAGAGGCTGGACAGACAGCCCAGACCCCAAACCCACCCACGTCAAGCTCAAGTCTGTCCCAGCCACTGAGCTTTCTCTAGCGAGGCGCTGGCCCCACAGACTCTTCATTTCTAGTCCCAGCTCTGACTCTGGTCCTCCCCAGTTCAGGTAGTTGTATCATGGGGCGATCTCACCTGCCTCTTCCCGAATCCAAAGTTCTCTGGTTCCGCAGTTGCTCCCTGCTCTGCCACTGATGTTGGCTATTTCCAACTCAAATGGGACCCAGGTGGCAGGGGGAGGTGGGGTGGGGGAGGGCAGAGGCACCTGGTTGCTGGGGAGGGGTCAGAGCAACTGGAGAGAGCTCAGAGCCCTGGGGAATGAGGAACTAGTACAACGCGCGTCTGGAGGAGGGGGCAGACGGGGCTGCAGCCCCGCAGGAGACAGAAGGCTGGGGCTGGTGGCAGAGAGCAACACCAGCAGCCCAGGCCACACCCACCCCTCCTGCCTCCCTGCAGACCCTGTCCCCATGTGCCCATTCCTGGAAGGCAGGGAGGGGGCAGGAGCTATTTTCTCCTTCCGCACATGGGGATACCCAGGTGCCGAGCCAGAGACTGGCTGGCTTTAAACTATGCAGCCAATCTGGGGCGAAATCTGGATTTGAGGAGGAATGAGATCATCCGTTTACAGTGTTTGGAGCAGGGATGGAGCTCCCACCAGCTTCCAACACACTGGGTAAGAGCAGCAAGCCCCAAACCTGACCCAGCCTTTTAAGACAAGATTCCCCAGCCCCACCATCATGAGCTTTGGATCCAGTAAGTTTGGGGTGTGGTCCAAAGCTCCTCAAGTGAGCTGGAGATGTGGGAACTGCCAGGCAGGGTAGCCGGGTGATCTTGACCTGTCTGAACCTCAGTTTTTCTCATCTGCAA